TGGAAAATATATTGGAAACTGCAGGAGGAAGGCCCATTCTCTGTGCATTTGGGAGAACTAAACTATTGAATAAAGAGGAAAACCAAGTCGTTACTGAAAGGCCTGATTCTCTACTTTGAGGAAGTTCAATAACTCAGTCCAAGAAGTGGGTCTTGGGCTCCTTTGTGTTTGGAATGAGGCACTGATCAGGCAGGCAGGGATAAAACATTGAATAACATATGGTCCCTTCTCCCGAGACATTTATAATCTAGTCTTATGAATATTTCAGTCAAGAATCTCCAATTGTCATGCGAAAGGATGACACATTTCTAAGCTTGGGTTTATTTGTTTTTCCCCCCTCCTAATACCATCCAAATTTAGCGCCTTCACCGACAAAATGATGATGTCCACTTGAACCCAGACAATAGTCCAAAGAACCAAAAGCTAAATAACTTTGTCCTCTGTGTGATATCTGCTTGATTATTTTAAAAAACAGAAGTCGATGGCTATTTTTGCACTAAATAGTCACAATCCAAGCCTCTCTTCTTTGATTTAAGGCTCTTTGGGGTCACTGAAGTGTCATTTGGAAAATTGCTTCCTGACGCATAATATTATGGTAATGATCCCCTAAAGCCTGGCATAAAGGCTCTGCCATGAGAGCTAGCAATTTATTTTCTTCCAAGTATTGTTTTAAAACAAGAGGCAGCTGGGGGTCAAGAGAGAGGCTCCGGGTTATAACAGGCTTAATGCGACCCTTGGAATTTTTTTTACACACTTGAGAGGAGAAAGATTGTTCATAAATACTCATTTACAGAAACAGTTCAAGAGACACAGAAAAGATACATTTCTCTTACATCTGAGCACATGATTATAACCTAATAACAATAGAAGCAAGGGGAAGAGAGGAAGATGCTAGGATTTGGGGGGTAAGGCTAGAAGCCGGGAGACCTAGATTTAAATCCCAAGCTTGCCTCTCATTGATGATATCCATTTGGTTTACAAATCAAGGTTTTTTGAGTTCAGTCACCTCAGATAAAGCAGAACTACTCGCCTCAAAGGCGAGTACTTCACTACTTCACTACACCAGTGGTGAAGTTCAAATACAATACTGTGAGCAAAAGCTAAGAACAAACACATAGTGTATGCACATAGACTAGTCTGTGTATAGTTTACCTACACAGTATGAACTCAATAACTTTCCTGATCATTGCTACTATTATTGTTATACAGGAGTTATACACAAAATAATTACATCCACAGGGCCAGCTACCGCGCTCTGCTTCATATTTGAGACAGGTGGTGCGATGTAAATATATTTTGACTAGGCTACAGTGCCCAGTTTTCAGCTAAATGCTAGCCTAGATGTTGCTCTGAAGTTATGTTTTAGATATGATTACATTCAAATCGACAGACTTGGAGAAAAGGAGATTTCCTCCATAATGCCGATGGATGGGGAGTGGATGGGGCCTGGAGGTGGGTCTTATTTAATCATTTGAGGGGCTTAGGAGCAAAGACTGAAGTTTCCCAAAGAAGAAGCAATTCTGTCTCAAGACTGCAACTCAGAATCCCTGCTGAATTTCCAGCCTTCTGGTCTGCCCTGCAGATTTTGGGCTTGCCAGCCCCTACAATCATATGAGCCAATTCCTTAAAATAATTTGAGAGAGAGAACTAGACAGACAGATAGAAATAAAAATATAGCTCTCTATAGAGACAGAGCCACATCTCTCTAGATAGATGACAGATAAATAGGTAGATCCAATGGAATTATATTGAGATAGAGATATATTGGATTCACCTATGCATCTACCTGTCTTTCTATCAAGACGATCTATCTCTGGCTCTCTCTCTAGCTAGCTAGATCTATGGATGGATAGGTATTACATACCTATATCTATATAGCTATATCTATACCTATGGATATCCTATTTGTTTTGTTTCTCTAGAGAACCCGATCAATTCAGGTGGGGAGAACTGCGGTAAATAGGCAATCTGAATGCTCTGTGATGGGTCTCACCACAGCATGAGGTGCTATGAGAATGCTTTGCGTGAGGGCCACTTAATTATGTCTTTGAAGGACCAGACGAAGCTGCCCAAAATGTGGGCTGAAAATGGATAGATACAAGGGGAGGATTAGCTAGAGGTTTAAGAAGATAAAGGAGACATGGGATGTCTGAGGCCATGAAAGACAAGCAGGAAAGCTTGCCCAAGGGGAGGAAGATTCATCTGATGGGAACCCTATAGAACATGTAAATCACAGAGAGGAATGTGCACAGTGGGGAGTTCAGGCGGGTGTTAGTACGGCAAGAAGATAAATGCAGGGCATGCCTCTGGAGGTGGCCGGAGAGGAAGGAAGGAGCAGATGCTGAAGGGAGAAGACCAAGTATTCGATAAGTGCTACTCCCCTGAACCTCTCAGGGTACATACAGATGGATGGCTGTCCGTGGGAGAGCACTGCAGGGCAGTGGTGGCCCCAGGGAAGACCCAGGCAGTGGGAGAAAGCTGAAAAAGTGGAAGTGTTTGTTCATTGTAGAACAGATGTCCCAGAAGGAGAAGAGCAGTGAGAGGCTCTGGGCCAAGAGCCTGGGGGCTGAGGACCCAGAGTTCAGGAGATGTAGTTGTGATGACCATACAACCAGACTTCATCTCCTGGGCGGGGGCATGGGAAGCCCTAGTCCATGGTGTCGATGGAATCACCCAGGGAGCTTTTACAAATACCACTGCCAGGGGCCAACCCCAGAAATGCTAGCACTAAGGTAGGATGCAGACTCAAGATGAGAATGTCATGAAAACTCTGCCCATGTCATGCTGATGTGCAGTCAAGGGTACAGTCAAGGGTACCCTTGATGTACAGCCAAGGGTAAGAACCATCCCAGTCCAATTGCAGGCCAGGAGAACTTTACTCCCCAGGACTCTAACAATTACAGAGAGCACCTGCTTCCCCTGGCTTGAGGGGACTCCAGGTGCTTGGGAAGATGTTTCCCTTGGCCTGAGATCATTGCAATTGTGAGTGTGTTCCAACGTCTGTGCATGAATAAACTCTGCATTCTAGACCGGGGCCTCTGAGATATGGGTTGCTTTACACCAGAGCCAAGAAAAAGCTCTAGTTTCAGGATAAGTGGCATGAAAACTCTCAGAAATAGGGTCCTTATTCTGAGTCTCCTAGGAAAATCAGATTATAGAATTCTCACTTTATACTTGAAAAAGCTGCAGCCTCTGGTATTTGGGGTATTCCAGACTTTCTGGAAGGGATCATCCATAGTCCACGAGGTAGCCATTATACACTCAGTTTTTAAAGATGAGGGTTGAATAGAGAGGAAAGCAAATTGTCCCTGGGTTATCCATCTAGTAGGTCGAAGAGTACATTAGTTATGTATTGCTAAAGGGATCAGCGGGGGCTATCCAAGTCTGTCCCCACAAAAAGCCAAGACCCAAGTTCTTATTTAACTCCAAAATCAAGGATATGGGCATTGATTCAATAATCCCTTCTGAAATGTGGTTTTCCTAGGAGACCAAAAAGGAGAGAAGCTTCTCTAGAGAGAAGCATGATACTGATACTGATACTGATACTGATACTGGAAGCATGAGTTTTACCTGGATGTCCCATGTGGTTGGACTGGTGGCAGTGTGTGAAGAAATCTTACCATGAAGATCCTCACACATTTGAGGGGAACTGACTACTCTGTGCCTTGAGCAACAGAACTCCAGATCTGGGACATGGTTTGGCATTTGGAGGGAGGCAGGTATGAATCTCGTGACCGTAGCTTAGAGTCTATGAGCTTTAGACCTATATGGTGATGCCAACCCATCCTCTGTGGAAAGTGGTTTGATTTATCCATCCACCCACGAGGCTGGGGTTGCCTGGCTTAATATGGGGCTCTCTCTAAGGTGTGGAGGGTAAACAGTGATCAGATTCCATTTCTTTTGTGTCTTGTATGTCCAATAGACTATCCTTCATCACCACCAAAATCTTGCTCACACATCAGCACTGGCCAGTGTAGTTGACTCACTTCTAGGATTTACTGACCAGCAACTCCCCAAATATACTGACTGTCTTTCTTAAACAACAGAGAGCTTTGTCCCTAAAACCTCTGTGAGGAGAAGGCTGTGGAGTCCTTGTGAGCAGGGCGGGTGTGAATGGCTCCAAAAGTATGCAAAGGGTGAGATACACGATCATAAAACTTGCTGCTCACATAAATTTCCCCTAAAGACTTTTGCTCCTAAAATGGGTATAGGCACAGCACCTTACTGTCTGCAGACAGCAGGACAGCCTGGTGATCCATCTCCGAGCCCACACAGGTCATTGTCCCTTGGCAGGTGTATCAAGATTCTCTTTTAGTGAGCAACCAAGTGGGTGTGAAGAAATGTCCCCACAGGAGGACCATGCTAGGAATAATGGCAGATATCACCTGTTCTCTGAAACCGATCTCTCTGCAGAACCTAATTAGTCTGTAAACCGTACCACCACTCACTATGGGGCACAATCTACTGTATCTGAGGACATTGGAGGTGTAATCATGCTTCTAAACACAGAGTACTTTCCTCTGTCTTAGCAAATCTGAATGAAAAAATACAAGTTTTCTTCTAAAGACCTGTAGTTCTTATCAATAGATTCTTGACTTCACACGGCATAGCAAAGGAGCTGCCATTCATGAATCATTTAGCAGATTTTGTAAAATCACACCATTTTGGAAGGTATGCCATTATTTAAAACTAGAAGTTTTAATTACTCTGTGTCATGTAACATTGTAGAATGCATGAAGCTATGTGCAAAGGGACTCTTGAAATATGTATTTCCTTTTGGCAGAAAAAAATAACTTTAGGGACTCTTATTGATGGGAACAGGGCCAGTACATGGATGGACACTGGGCTCCAGCAAACTTCAGGATAGAAAGAATGTACCTGGGGTGGGATATGATGGCAGGCAGAATAGGCTGGACTTCTATTTGGACATATCTGTGGGAACTCTTTGCAATCATCTTCTAAAATGAAATTTCCCAAGAGAATAACTATTCATCTTTTTTTAAAAAAATATTTTATTTGTTCATTCATGAGAGAGGCAGAGACACAGGCAGAGGGAGAGGCAGGTTCCCTGTCGGGAGTCTGATGTGGGACTCGATCCCAGGACCCCAGGATCATGACCTGAGCCAAAGGCAGACGCTCAACCACTGAGCCACCCAGGCATCCACTTTTCATCTTTTTAAATAAAGGAATAACCAGTGCTCCCCATGTGGCTCCAAACTCAAGGTTTTCAGGATCTAATTCAGACACTAACTTAACAAGCCAAACTTTCATCCATAAAGTTAGACTATAGAAAAGAGAGAAAAACTTTTAGGATGAATGGGATCAATAGATATCAGAGAAATTCCTAGATTTGGCCCCTACAAGGGTCAAGATCATACCACTGACTAGATGGTTGTCCAAGTTAATGGCATGGGCTGATGGATACATTTTCATAGGTCAGTGGTGTCCCTGAAGCGGTGCACAGCAGCTCCTGATATAATTCTGGGCATGAATATACTCAAGGAGACTTGAGAATAGCCCTTTTGAAGTAAGGTTAAACATCATTCTCTCAGCTACTTCCTTAGAGAATTCTGAATGCAGGTCCCATTAAAAGAACAATATAGCAACAAAGGGCATCCTACTACTGTTTATTTAGAGATTGCAACCCACCTTATATCCCTTGGATGAAAATTAGAGCTTCTCATGTACCTACCATTCTAGGAGCCAAAATATCAAGGTTAAAACCCTCCCCTCTGATTTTCTGAGCATGGAATACAAACAAAATAACTAGTGACTCCAAAGGCATTTCAAACATTAGCTCACATGGAGTCATGCAAAACAGGGAAGATTCTGTTTGTAAATTCCAATCACTACTTAGAAAGACATTAAGGATTCATATCCTAGGCAACAGAAATGTGTTCTGTAAAAGAAATCTTCCCACATGCTTTTCTATATTTGCCATAGTTAAGCTTGCATTTAAACAAATGAGGAGTTTTTTACCTCTCTACCCAGTGGTCCTTCAGCAAACCAGCTTTCTGTTCTCCAAGTCGCTCCACGAATGTGCAGAAAGAACTGGATCCCATTGTGGGGACTACAGGAGGCCCCTCATCTAAGACAGGTAAAAACTATGATATCAAGACTACTAGATGTAGATACAAAGGTATTAGTTGCCATTAGCTTACAGGAGAGAGCTTTGTGCAAGACATCCTTGTCCCACAAATAAGAAACTGGCTTCAGTGACCGAGAATCAACAGTCCCCATGGCATTTTCTCCCCATAATAAAGACCATTTCTATGTTGACACGCATCTCTTCTGGTTTGAAGAATAGTCAATGGAATAAATTTAAGACATCAGACTGTGTTTATGGCAGTCACTGGATGAATTATTATTTTCTTCTATTGTACTTTGAATTTATGATTTTGGACCCTTCCATCGTTAAGCCAAGGGATATAAACCTAGTTGCAAACTTTCAGGGACACCAGAGCCAGAACATCCCAGGGATTGCTACCTGAGACCTTTGCTTGAGGCTCTCCATTGATGCTGCTCTTTGGTCAGTGATTTGATAGATGGAAGGCGAGGAGGAAGAGTCTCTACCAACTGATGCTAAAATGCTGAGGCTCCTATCCTTTCAGACCCTGAAAACCTCCACCATGGCAAAGGAAGTCAACACAATGAAAAAAAGCATGGCATCCATAGTGAGAATATGAATGTGAGCACCCTACTATTGCAATAGGGTGACCATGCATTTGGTAGGGAGATGTCAAGGTACTTCTGGGAACCTGTTTGGATTCCAGGACCTCGTGACCTCCCTTTCTACAAAATGCATCCTTTACGTGGTCCAGCCCCATACGCCTGGACACTGACGTTTGGGGGCCAGAGTTGCAGGCTGTCATGAAGTGGTGCTTCCCTGGTGAGTCCTCATGCAGCAAGTGGCAAGTCAACAGTGCTTCAAAGACATGCAGCATTCATTCAATGGGTTGATGGCCATGGGTTCAAGAAACTTTCAGTTTCCTGAAATTCCCTATAACTTCCATTTATCTTCTTTTTTCGAACCCAACTCTGCAGAATACACTGTAGCCCTCTGTATATCATAAGATGTGACATCCTGGAGGCCTTTCGGTGCTTCAGTGATCTCTTTGATGTAGCCCAAGATAGTTTTTATGTTGAATTCCATCTTCAGTGGGTAATAGCATGTAAAGTTCTAAAAGAAGAGAGAGAAGAACATGAATCAACAATAGAAACATAGATTTGTTTTTCCTTGTGTCATTAACATTTGAGAATTTTTAAAAGTAGCCAGTAGTTTTAGTCTTAATTAATTTTTAATGGATTTGTACCATTGTCCAGATTTAAATCACCACTATGGGATGAAAAAGCAGCAATAATTGACTCAATTTAGGTCAGATGTTGGTAATAAGGTTTAAACAAAGATTACGTAACAAAAAAAATGAATGACAGTGATCCTCTCAGATTAAAAACAACTAATAACAACAACAACAAAAGAAAAAAACAAAGAAGATACAACAAAACGAATAAAGAAAAAAAAGGCTGTCAAGAATGAATTCTGGGCCATCTTAGCCAAGGCATCTTTTTATAGATTGGGATGACCAGTCTTAACTTTCACCATAAGCAAAAAGGTAGGACTCCTGATACAGCAGAAAATGTTAAGTATACTCCACAATCTACGTTTCCTGTGTCTTGATAAAACTGCATCCACTTCCCATGACCAAGTCCATTCACTGACCTCATGACCTCTGAACTTTAGATGTCCAAGCTTGGACCTCAAAACAACTGCTAAATAGGATTGGTTGTTAAAGATCTGGAGAAGCTCAAAGCAGACACTTCTGTCATCACATATCAAGAAACGGGTGGAGGATAAGCATCATTAGACAAAAAATAACACCTCAGGACTCATGGCTGTGATTTATTTCTGGATTAACATTGTATCATTGACTATTCACTGTTATTTAACGTTGTAAGGTATAAAATATAGTACTGTAATAATTTATGTCATGTTACCTGACAATACATTATATGTAAGTTATCTTCCAAATTATGTCTCCTTGCAGCTAAACCAGCAGGCATTTGATAGGACAAATCAACATACTGTGATTAAAATATTACTAAATAGATACAATGCAGGATCTTTAGGAATTACCTTCTTTTATTTTGCTTAGTTCTTGAATCAAAGTTGGTTACCACCCCTCCCACGCATACATCCAGAAAACACTTAGCAAAAAAGACACTCTCTCCAGCCTTTCCTAGATATATTGTTGAAGGGAATAGAGTGCAATTGCAAATTATAGGGTTCTAAATCCTTGGTATATTTGTTCCCCCAAAATCTCTGGAGATAAAAAGTAAAAATGAAAAGTAAGCTGCTACCAGGTTGGACAAATAGAGGCATATGCTGGTCACTTTATAGGCACCAAAGGCATATGTAATGAGTGGAATTCAAGGGGAAATATACATTAATAAAAAACAAAAGGTCACCAAAGTAATCATGGTTGAGATACTCTTTTGCTTCTCCCTCTGCCCCTGCCCCTCCTTATCCCCTGGTTCTACATGCTATCTTTCTCTCAAATAAATGAATACAATCTTTAAAAAAATAAAATAAAATAAAATAAAATAAAATAAAATAAAATAAAATAAAATAAAATAAAATAAAATAAAATAAAATGTATTTGTTCTAACAACCATCTTATTGAAAGATGAAATACAGCATGGGATCTCATGCTTTGATAACCCTTTTCAGACACAGATTAGGGCATTTCCTGTTCTCTGCTGCAAATCAGGAGTTACAGACATGCTAGGACTAAGCAAAGATCCCAGCAGTTTTGGCTGGTCCTGATCAATGGTTTCAAGGTGAAAGGCACTCTCTAACATTGGTATCACTGTTATGTTTAATGCCTCATTAATTTTGATCTCCTTTATTATTTTTCAATATATGTTTGGAAGATCCTCATAAAGTCTTTTCGCCAATTTTAGTCTATTCATTCCTGGTTCCTAATGTTTGTGTGCCTTTGTGAAAGATATTTTCTAAAAAGGTATGTTCTAATTATGGCCAGTATATCAATATACAAGTGTTTGGGAATATTTATATGGTATCCAGCAACTGTGATAAAACCTCATTGTTTTGAACAATTGTATCTCATTATTCTTTGAGGCCCAAGGTTTTCTAGGTAGACAATGAATAAGCTCTGAAGGATAACAGCTCCTTCCTTTGTAACCTTCATAGATTTTATTTTATTTTCTTCTTATTCTTTAGTACCTCCAATAGAAAGCTGAATGGAGGTGGTAATAAAAAACATTCTTATTCCTGATCTTAAACAAAAATACTTTTACCTTTTCACCATTAAATATATTTCAACTCAGTTTTGCTTTATTTTTTTAAGATTTTATTTATTTATTTATTTACTGGAGAGAGAGCAAGCGAGCAGAGGGAGGAACAGAGGGAGAGGGAGAAGGAGACTCCCCACTGAGGGTGGAGCCAGACATGGGGCTCAATCCCATGACCCCAAGATCATGACCTGAACCAAAATCATGAGTCGTATGGTCAACTGACTGAGCCACCCAGGTGCCCTTTAGTTTGTTTTAAATAGATATTTGTCAGAGTAGGAAAGTTGCTCTCTAGCCCTAATTGGTAAGGATCTCTTAAAAAAAAAAAAAGTGAGTAATTAATTCGGACTTTATCACATGCTTTTTCTTAACCTATTAAAATGGTCATATAGGTTTTTCTCTAGCGATTAATAGAATGATCTTTCTTATTTTTTTAAAAGATTTTATTTATTTATGAGACACAGAGAGAGACAGGCAGAGACATAGGCTAAGGGAAAAGCAGGGAGCTTGATGTGGGACTCGATTCCAGGACCCCGGGATCACACCCTGAGCCAAAGGCAGATGCTCAACCATTGAGCCACCCAAGCGCCTCAATAGAATGATCTTTCTAATGTTAATCCAGCTTTGTATTTCTAAGACCACCCCAATTTTCCCATGATGTGATTATTATTCTTTATACACTACTAGATTACTTTATTGTTATTTTAAGATGTTCATTCTTAGACTTAACATTTATTCTCCTTGGATAACTTGGTTATTAAAGTTAGGTAGTGTAATAGATTAAGTTGAGATCAGTTTCTTATTTTTCTGGTCTCTGGGAGAATTGTATTGGTTTGGAATTATTTGCTGATCGTTTACTAGAATCAATATATAAAAACCATGTGGGTATAGGCCTTTTCTTCAGCTTTTAAATTTTATGTTTCTTTTTGAGTCAATTCTATCTTTCTAGGATTTTGAAAATTTACATTTTTTAACTTATTGGTGTAAAGTAATTAATGCTATTGTGTTATTATCTTCTTGATCTCAGCAGTATCTCTATATATTTTTTATTCTGATAGTATATTTATCTCTCTCTCAGATCTTTTTCTGTGACTGCTAATCAGTCTTGCCAGAGGTTTTTCAGTCTTACTATTTTATTCTTTTGACTTCAGAGAAGGTTAATCTGTTGTTCTTTTCCTAACACCCAACTGTAGATGTTCAACTCATTTATGTCCATCTTACTTTCTCTTCTAAAGCAACACTCAAGATTTAAATTTTCCCTTAAGATCCTGCTCTATAGTATCTCCCCTTTGTAAAGTATATAGTATTATCATTCTTTATATCTTCCATTCTATTATGATATCTTTTTCAACCCATGAGTTTTTAAAAATGTGTACTTTAAAATTTTAAATATTTCCTTGTTTCTATTTATCTATACTAACCTATTTATCTCTTTGTTCTTGATTTCTATTTATCTCTTTGTTCTTGATTTCTAACTTAAGGCATTATAAAGAGAAAATGTGACTTATATGATACCAGCCTGAAGAGATTTACTAATAATCTGCTTTATGAACCAATTGTTCAGATTTCATTGACATTCCATGTATTATGAGAGAATGTATTTTTCCTTTGTAGCCGGCAACATTCACATGCTAACACGAAAGGCATTTTTCTTTTCATTATACAGATTCTGTTTAAAAGATTTTCACCTTAGAGGAAAGTTATTGAATTGCTGAGCAATGTTCAAAAATTAATTCAAATACGTTTATAGAGTGCTTAGCACATGCTTACATATGGCTATATACTAAGCATTAAAAATACAGTGATGACAGAGACCAACACAGTGTATGTTCCCATGGACCTACCTTAGTGTCTAGTGGGGCAGAGAAAGGAGTACTCACATGGTTACTAATCATTGTGTGAAATGTCAAAAAGGGAATGTGCAATGAGGAAGGTTCTGTTTGAGACACGGTATCGTAGCTACGGTATGCTAGTCATCACCAGCTGTACGCAGAAGTCTGGATACAAGTACAGGGAAATCACCCAAGTATATGAATCATCAAGAAAGGTTCAAGTACATGTCTGTCCCTCCAACCTATTTCTCTTCCATTCTTATCCCATTCCCTATCTCCACGAGGCCCTCATGCCTTTCTCTCTTTCCTCTTTCTTCCATCCATCCATGTGCCTATCTTTTGGTCCTTCACCACCATATCTGGCTTTCTCTGGAAATATATTATTTGGGCCCTCAGGACAGAACTGCACAACTCTGTGGGTGATCAGTTCAGTAGAGTTTCCAGTGACACTCACAACCCATAAATGAATTTTTCCAGGCCAAAAGTTACATGGTTTATCAAATTTGTTGTTGATTGGGGATGTGCCTATATAAATACCAAAGGCTATTTTTAAGTAGTTACCAGGCTCTGTATTATTCTAACAAATGCAATCATCTACAGTGAGGTCCAAACTGGAGTTAACTTTCATTGTGTTCAACATTTCTTTCTTTCCTTTTCTTTTTGAGGGAGAGAGAAAGCAGGGGGTGTGGACAGGGTGGGGGAGAAGGGGAGAGAGAGAGAGAGAGAAAATCAGAAGCAGGATTCATGCCCAGCACAGAAGTCAACCTGGGGCTCAATCTCACAACCCTGAGATCATGACCTGAGCCAAAATCAAGAGTTGGTTGCTTAACTGACTAAGGCACCCAGGCACCACCAACATTTTATTTATTCTGTAAGTGTGTGCAGTTGGGTAAGTTTCTGTTGTTGTTAGATGGATTAACTGAAGACACGCATTGCCCTGAGAGTCAATTAAAATGTGTAGTTATTTTTTTTTATTTAGTTGTTGAGGCATATCTCTCCTCATTGGTATTTGAGAGGCTGGCGTATTTGACCAAGT